AGTAGGATCAGGCACATATATGCATCGATCCAAGTTGCCATACCGCATTAGCACAGCACATTGCTTACTCCGTGGTTGCAAAGCGAAATACACGAACAATGCTTCGTAAACACCTATAACCAAATGCCAGTGACCCACAAATATCCACTACTCTTAATGGCAACGTTTCACATCCACAAACTATAACGGAGCAAACTGCTGCGCAGTGAACCCGCCCTTTAGTTGGAAGACGGATATTTCACCTACACCTGAATCCGTACCGAGATTTCGTCAGACATTAAACCGTCAGTGCCCCCTGAATGCCCTGGTACGGCCGAGAGTGGGGAGAGTCCGCTCTCCCTCTCGAAATACTCTCACACGGCCACGCGTATATAGCCTCTGCCAGGGAAGTCCTACTCATTGCCTTCTCGTGGCGGGGGTGTTGTTTACGAAAATGAGAGGACGAAAAGCGAATGTCCGGCGCTTTAACCGGATTCCAAATCAATGGTGCACATGGGCTCCAGTATCCTGCGGGAACGAATGGCGTATGAACCAATCGTTGGTCACCGGCTACCATGGGACTGCATCTCCTTACGATGTTCCACTGCCTTGTGGGTTAGACCTTTAGGTCAAAGGCTCGGGGGGTGGCCCCCTAAGAAAACCACCTGCTTCGGTTTGGGCACCCGGGCAGTATCACAGCCCACACACAAACGATGAACTCTATGTCTTTGGCAACTACTTTCATCGCTCCGAAAAACAAAAACAATCAATCAATTCAAATAATTATCATTACTATTATTGTCATTATTGATACTATTATTATTACTATTATTGTCGTTATTATTATTATTATTATAATTATTATTATTATTTCCCACATTATTCACCCTCTTTCATACTTATACAGCGGCTCGGCTTTGGTGGAAATTCGACTGTATCTAAACGTTCTCGAGTCACTGTCCGGTTGAAAGTTGTATGTTACCATCGAATATGAGTACTGAAGCAGTTTTTCTGAAACCACGTGCGCCATTCAAACTGGCTGCCTTCAACGTTCGCACACTTATGCAGGTTGGTCAACAGATAGGGCTGGCTATGTCTTTGGAAAGTCTTAATATTGATGTTTGTTGTCTATCCGAGACCCGTATTCAAGACTCTAGCGAAGTACTACAAATTCGCTCTACATCTGTCACTTCAAAAAGCTTGTTTTACGTGCGCTTATCCGGGGACCCTGTGGCATCTTCGTCTGGTCTTGCTGGCGTTGGTGTCGCACTAAGCGCTAGAGCTGAGGCAGCACTAGTCGATTGGATCCCCATTAACAATCATTTATGTGCTGTTAGATTAGAAAGTTCCATCAAAGTGAGAAGAAATCGGCGTGAGAAACGATGTCTTTTCGTCATCTCCGCCTATGCCCCGACAGATTGCAGCCCGGATGCAATCAAGGATGAGTTTTACCACCAGTTATCAGTTCTTCTCCAGAAAGTGCGTTCGACAGATATTGTAGTACTAGCCGGAGACTTGAATGCTCAGGTCGGGCGTCTAGGCACAGAAGAGAGTCGTTTAGGTGGCCGATGGGGACTCGTTGGTCGCGGGTCAGATAACGGGGACCGTCTACTGCAACTTTGCACAGACCACAACCTGTTTCTGGCTAGCACTAACTTTCGGCACAGTCATCGCCGATGTGCCACCTGGCGTCCTCCCTCTGCATCTCAAGCCTGGACTCAGATTGATCACATCGCGATCAGCTACCGCTGGCGTGGTTGTGTACAAGACTGCCGCTCCTTTTGGAGTACCTATCTGGACTCTGACCATGCCTTGGTCTGCGCCAATCTTGCCTTACTTTTCAGTGGACAACGAAGTGAACGCCATCAACGGATTGATGTTAGCAAGCTGGTTGCAACTTCTGTTGCAAGTAAGTATCGAACCGAGCTAGCCTCTAGGCTAGCTACCACTCCACCGAAAAGTATAGATGAGCATTGGTTGCGATTGCATGACGCCATGAAAATGGCGGGAACAGTCAGTTGTGGGTTTGCGAAACGTCCCGCTTTTAAGCACTGGGTTTCTTCTGGTTCCTTACAACTCATTGAAGCCCGTCGGTCTACTCCGGGTAACCGTGAGTTTGACCATAAACGAAGGATTTTACGTAAGGAAATCGGGCAAAGCTTGCGTAAGGACCGAGAAGCCTGGTGGTCGATGCGTGCTAATGAGCTGGAAGCAGCAGCTGCATCTGGTAACTACCGGAAGCTCTTCCAACTCATCCGAGCCACTGGCAGCAAGAAGTCTGGTGTGAGTGAAACAATCTGCGAGGATGATGGGATGCCAATCACTAACATCCATCGACGTCTTGGACGATGGGCAGAATTCTTCGAAGGGCAGTTCAACTGGCCTGCTGCTCCGGCAACATCGGTCAGACTGTCCTGCCCTCCATGGCCGGTGACGACTGATCCACCAAATGAGGAGGAAGTCCGCAAGGAACTCCAACTCTCGAAGCGTTACAAATCACCTGGCCCAGATGACTTACCTCCGGCTCTTTTTAAAGATGGTGGTGACTTTTTGACTAAGGAATTGACGACGTTGTTCACAAAGGTTTGGGAACTAGAGAGTGTGCCAACGTCATGGAATGAGTCGATAGTTGTCCCTATCTTTAAAAAGGGTTCACGTCGTTCCTGTAACAACTACCGGGGGATAAGTTTACTTCCGATTGCGTCCAAGCTATTGGCTTCCGTCATACTTCGTAGGTTGTTCAAAACCCGAGAAAGATTGACTCGCGAGGAGCAGGCTGGGTTTCGTTCTGGTCGAGGATGTATTGATCATATCTTCACCCTCCGCCAAATGTTAGAACACCGCCATACTTTTCAAAGGCCAACAATCGTAGTATTTCTTGACATCAGGGCTGCCTTCGATTCGTTGGATAGGACTGTTCTCTGGGATTATCTGTTGAAGAAGGGTGTGCCTGAGAAGTTTATTAACATCCTAAAAGCCCTGTATAAAAACACCTCAGGCAGAGTGAGGGCATACAGCCACCTCTCTCCATTGTTCCATTCGAGCAGTGGGGTTAGGCAGGGTTGCCCAATCTCACCATTCCTCTTCAACTTTGCCATCGATGACATTCTGGAAACAGCTCTGATGAATGTAAGTAATGGTGGTGTGGATCTGTTGCCTGGAGAAAGACTTCTCGACCTTGAGTATGCGGACGATATTGTCTTACTGTGCGATAATGCCCAAGGCATGCAATCCGCACTTAATCAGTTGGCAATCAGTGTCCGTAGGTATGGTATGTGCTTTGCACCTTCGAAGTGCAAAGTACTTCTACAAGACTGGCAGGATTCTAATCCTGTACTCACCCTGGACGGTGAGCAGATAGACGTAGTTGAGAAGTTCGTGTATCTGGGTAGCTGCATAAGTGCTGGTGGGGGTGTGAGTGATGAGATCAATGCACGAATAGTGAAAGCCAGAGCGGCTTATGCCAATCTGGGCCACCTTTGGCGCCTTCGTGATGTTAGTCTGGCTGTAAAAGGCCGGATCTACAACGCGTCGGTGAGAGCAGTTTTGCTCTATGCTTGTGAAACCTGGCCTCTCCGAGTTGAGGACGTTAGACGACTCTCTGTGTTCGATCATCGCTGTCTCCGAAGGATGGCTGACATTCAGTGGCAACACCATGTCAGTAATGCAGAGGTTCGGCATCGTGTGTGCGGGCACAGAGATGATAACTCAATTGGTGTCACCATCTTGAAACACCGACTTCGGTGGCTTGGACATGTTCTCCGAATGTCGTCCCAGAGAATTCCACGTCGTGCATTATTTGCCGACTCTGGGACTGGTTGGAAGAAGCGGAGAGGTGGTCAGTGCATGACATGGTGTCGTGGCATGAAAGAAAGCTGCAAAGGACTGGCTTGTGTCGGTCCTTCACGACTCCCTGGTTGGGGTCCGAGAGATGGTGCTACACAGTGGCTAGAGACGTTATCAGATATGGCTCAGAATAGAAGCCAGTGGCGATCCTGCTGTAACCTTTTACTTTCTTCATAAAAAGTGGTTGTCTTCCTTAACTGAAAGATTTCTTCTGATTGTACCTCTTCGTCATTACTCTCCTTTTCTTTTGCGTTCCTTAGTTTTTTTTTTCTTTCTACTTCTCTTCGAATTCCCGTTGTTTTGTGTGGCGCATATATATTGGCGCTCTCTTGTACCAATATTTATGTGTTCAAATAAATAAATAAATAAATAAACCGTCAGTACTGATGAGACTTCCAAGAAAAGTGGGGCAGTCAATACGTCCAACTACTATTCGGGTGATGACACAAGCCGATCCTGAAATAACATTTTACATTTAAAGTGAGAACGGGACCCCTAACATCCTGGGATTGTTGCCTAAAGGTGGTCAGAAAACTGCATTTTGTCAGTGTCTTCTGCGAACAGAATTATATTATCTCCGTATTCTAATTCAACAAGCGAATCTCCTGGTAAAAGATAAACCTCTGAAAAGTCAGACGATGAAAGTATCCTCTCTAAAAGCATGTCTATGTCAAAGTTAAATTACAATGGGAAAAGCGGACAACTCAGACGAACACCATTTGAAGTAATTAGTTCCGATGACAGTTCGCCATTAGCAATGACTCGGCCAGTAGTGTCCGACTTAAGAACCAGTACAAGATTAATGTACTTCATTGATACATCTTTTAATGACAGACACTACCATAAAACCTCACGGTCAACAGAGTCGAATGCTGCCTTATGGTCAAGGAATACAACTATAGTAGGACGTCGGAAAGTATGTCTGTTTTCGACAATCTCCTGAGGAGTGGATATTTGGTCTATACATCTACGTTCATGTCTGAAACCAGCCCGGTGTTCTCAGACTGGCTTTTCACGAGCCCTAGTTGAACTTTGAACTATTAATGAGGTTAATATTTTATACACTATATTAGTTGAACTGACTCCTCTGTGATTGTCACCCAAACTGATACTATTTCAATGAAATGAATTAAAATACGAAAAGATATGAGCAGTAATTTACGCAAAAAACTTACATCTTTGGAGAGATCATTAACATGAAGGCCAACTTGTCCCAAATGTGTATTGATAAAAGTAAGAACTGCTTGCAAAACCATATGATGTTCTGATATGGCGTCAAAAGGACTGCCAGCTTGAAGTGTAAAACAGTAATTTATTAATAAACTTATATTAGTCGAAGACAGTCGTTCAGAATGGAAAGTGGGGGGTAAGGCGGAGAAGGCGAGTGAGCCAACTCCATTTGAAAAAACTGTGACTCAATATTCATAACCAAGCAAAAGTAAACCAAAGATATGCGATGAGTAGGGTAAGTAATACACATACACAACCCTAACCCTATAAACAATTAATTTACAAGAGCAAAATTTGACTCAAGCAGAAAACATTAACTGGTCTGTCGGGAAGCTAGAATAACCCATGTGTGTGTAACAGTGCTAGACGTTAAAATGTTCGGACCAGGTAACACTATTTGCGTGAGGGCTAATAATGTTACTGAACTACCTGAATAGAAACGGAGTAGGCTCTGAACCTGTGGCCTAACAGTTAAAAGTTAGGTGATGTAACCATTACTGAGAGCACAAATCGAACTATACAATGAATTTCTCAACATTCAAACTCCGTTTACAACACGGTCCTTAATTTTCGAATAATCCATGACAAAAGCTTGCACATTAACATCTCGCTTATAAGGAGGAATGGAAATTCGTTAAATAAATCGTTTGTTTTGGAAACACAATATGGTAAAAGTGATTTATTCTAAAGATTCACCAAAATATCCATTGTAACTCGAACACATGTTGGCAGTTGCTTCTATGTTAATTTCTGAACAATTAGATGAGATCATTATCATTAAATTCTCTAACATATTATTATTCTATATTCATTTCAAAAGATGCTAACAGTTGACAAAGTGAAATTTCATCTATAGCTAATGAATACAATGTAATATGAAACAACTAACCGGGCAATGTTTCTGTGACTTCAGTGATGTATTCCCTTTCGTAACGATACTCCAATTTACCATTTAATTTGCGAGCGATTATGACGGTAAGAAAAATACCTGCTTGAAAACGCATTTCTGGTTTAAATTGACGAGCAATAGCAACTAGTAGGCGCAGAATAGCAACCAAGTCTTTCTGATGAATACGTTCGGCAGTCCATCGTTGACTGGCCCAACTTTCTGATACATGAAGTACTTCGTTGACAGTTTGTAATACACCCTAAAAATCAGTTAGTTAGTTAGTATTGTTAAAGTTACACGCAAGCGTTGAAGCTGTCCAATTTCAGACAGCGTTAACTCAGGATGATCTAGCTTTATCTTCGCTAGTTTTTCAACTAACTTTTGCAGAAGTTGACCGTCATATAAGTCTTCTTGAATATCTCTCACGAGAATTCGATGTTCTGATAGTTCGTTGTTAATCCACGTCAATAATTTGTCCACTAAATTCTTAACACTTTCAGAATTCTATGAAAGTTTTAGAATCATTTAAGTAAGACCATAAGCATACTTGGGACGACTTCTCAATAAAAGAACGCTCTTGTCCTTCTTCTAATTGATATTGTTTGGGGTCGTCAGTTGTTAAAGCACTAACTGCCATTTCGATGGCTTGACGACTTTCTTTATTGAGTTCTTCAACTTCCAGGCGAGCTTTTCTCTTACGCTTGAAAGTGTCCAACTTTGAAAGAATAGAATCGTGACTTTTTAATCCTGCCATAGTAGTCATTATAATTTAAGCTGAATTCACCAAAGCATAAAGCAAAATGATGAATAATTTTGATGGGAAACAAATTAACTGAAAATATTACAGTGCATTACATTGCAGAAACACAACAATTGTATGACCTAGGTAAAGAAAAATCTCTAGCACATCTTTTTTGCAATGAATCTTGAAAATTTAATATGTTAAAGACACATATCATAACACCAAACAGGGATAGAATAGAGGCTTTTACAAAAAGCGTACTGAGAAGTAGTTGGTCATGTACGACATGGAACCCGACACACTCCATTAGGCCGTTAAGGTAGCTACACTATCAGCAGAAAAACTGCGTATACGAAAATTTGAGACTTAGTTTCTAAATGATATGAAGAGTAGACGCGCCCATCCCATTACAAACCAGCCTGAGTAGCGTCACTTAGAGCCTTTAATCACTAGTTACGATAATCATGGAGACCACAGCCAGGTAGCCCACACCTATTTACATGGCTTTGTCTAAGAGTTCTCAAGTGGTTGTTCCTCGGGCCCTGCGGCTACGCCTACAAGTTCCGAAGTCCACTACTAATCCAGTCCCAAGCTCCCAATTTTGGGGGAATATGACCCATTCTGGGAAAGCCGCCATAGTAAACTTTGGGGAAATGGCACGAAAACCCCATATATTTCCCCAGAATCTTATTACACTTTGGGGAAGTCGGCTTATATTTATTAATAAAACCTAGACATTTTTCACAATTTTGGGGAAATTTCGCGTTCTACCCAGAAATTTCCCGTGACTTTAGGGATGTATTATTACATGGGGGGATTTCCCCGAAGTTGGGAGCTTGGGATGTATTATATCAGGATGTACGTTAACGTGCACTCTGATATATTAATTAACAAGCGCTGTTGTATAGCTAATTAAAATACTACCGGTGTATTCACGAAGCAGTAAGGCTTGAAACAAAAATGTAAAAACAGGGTTGAAGCAGCAGACTGACAATAAAAACATCATATATTCAAAATGGTTCAAATGGTTGTGGACGGAATAGAAGAAGCTTTCGCTTAACAGGCTTCCGTGTCTAGTAGCAGGGGATCACCAAATCCTCCAGGCAGGAACCTAGGTATGTTAACAATAAAAGAGGAAAAGAAATTGGTAAATCATAGTGTGATGCTGTCCTTGGTCCTTAAGAATAGGTCAAGTTGCCTCTTGAAGGCCTCCTGAGAAGTCGCTTGGACTAGCTCGGCCGACAGCGAATTCCAGCTTTTGACAACTCTTAAGGAGTAGAAGTTGTGTCTACATTCCGTCTTGCTATGTTGTGTTTCCAGTTTTTGGGTGTTACCCCTTAGGTTATTATTCAAACTAAGCTTAAGTAGGTGTTTAAGAGGATGTCCAGAAGTGTTAAGAATACTATAAGCCATTAATAAATCACCTCTAAGACGCCTATATTATAGTGGGTAAAGGTCTAGTGAACGGAGGCGTTCTTCGTAAGGCTTAGATTTGAGTCCTCGAACTGATTTCGTGGCTCGCCGTTGGATACGCTCCAAAGTGACCTTGTCCTTTTGGAGTGAGGGGGGAGTACTATGTTTCCGTACTCTAAATGGGGACGGATGAAACTATTGAAGATTGTGTGGAAAGTTCTTCCGTCAAACTGGCCAAAAATGCGCCTCAACGTTACCAGTGCAAGGTTAGCTCGGAAGGCATTTTTGTCACAGTTAGCGTAAGACTTTAAGTCATGGGGCACCAGGACTCCTAAATCTTTTTCGACTTGGGATACTACTAGAGAGGAGTTTCCTAAGTTGTAACTGTAGTTTGCGACATGTCGCAGATGGACTACTTTACACTTTGAAGTGTTAAAGGTAAGTCCGTTATCGTCTGCCCAACTTTGAAGTCGAGTCAGATCCTCTTGAAGTGCCTGTATATCGTCTTGGTTGCGTATCTCTCTCCAAAGTTTCACGTCGTCGGCAAAAAGTAATAAGTCTGACGTTACCTGTTGAGAAAGATCATTTATGTAGATCACGAAGAGAAGAGGCCCTAGTACTGAGCCCTGGGGGACCCCACTAGGACATTCCATAGCTTGAGATAAAGTGAAATTAACCCTAACCATACAGTGTCTTTTTTTAGGTATGAAGTAAGCCAATCGATTAGAGGTGGTTTGATACCTAGTCGTTTGAGCTTGTTGATAAGACACAAGTGGTTAACCTTATCAAAAGCTTTTGAGAAATCAAGGTAAATGACATCAACCTTTCCCTTGCAATCGAGGATGCTTGTTTATCTGTCCACCGCAGTCAGCAGGTTGGTTATACAAGAGTAACCCTTCCTGAAACCATGCTGTTGGGGTGAGAAGAAATTTAAGGACAGTAGATAGTCGTTTAAACCGTCGCATATCAGGGACTCCATGAATTTTGAAGGTAATGACAGAAGAGCCACCGGCCGATAACTTGAAGGTTCATTGCGTCGACCACCTTTGAAAATTGGTGTGATGTGAGCCAACTTCCAATTTCCTGGTAGTTTTCCTCGACTTAGCGAGTGTGAGAACGTCACGCTAAGCAGCGTTGCCAGGATTGAGGCTACTTCCCTCAGTATGGCAGAATGAACCATATCCGGGCCAGGAGAAGTATCTAGACTTAAGTGCTGCAATTTCCGGAACACCAAGTCAGCGCTTAGGTCCACTTCGGAAAGTCCTGTGGAATTGCAGATGAAACTGTTGTCAATAAAGTTGATGTCAGCCGGTTGAAATGTTTGAGAGTAATGTGCCGCCAGAAGGTTAGCGGCGTCGCCATCATTGTTGGTCGGGCCGTTAAGTTCTTCGTAAATTCGAATCTACTCTGAAAGTAACTTGTGAGTGGTAATGTGAAAATCTGGAACAGAAAAAAAACTACAAATAAGCTGCGAACTAGGCAATCACAACCAATCTAGTAACCAGGAATAGGTGGCGTTAATACTTGAAGGAGTCACGAATCAAGTTCAGTGTCAAATGGTTCAAATGGTTGTGGACGGAATAGAAGAAGCTTTCGCCTAACGGGCTTCTGTGTCTACTGGAAGTGGACCACCAATACTTCCAGGCAGGAAACTATGTATATTAACGATAATACAGGAAAAAGAAATTGCCGAATCATAGTAAGATATCCTCAGTCCTCAATAATAGGTCAGTCTTCGGTAATAAGGATAGTTGGTTGGTGAACCTGTATTAATCCTGACACATTGCTTTCCAGTGAAGGTTCGGCTTCTCCTTGAAAGTATTCACTGATGGGGTTGATTTCTAAGCCCCACTCTCGAGCCCATCTAACTCCATATTTTTACATCATCCGCAAAACAATAATGTCGACGACCTAAGCAACGGTGGTAACTCATTAACGTGGAGAAGGAAGAGCAGAGGGTCTAAGATGGTGTCTTGGAGTACACCTCGTCAAATGCTTTGCTAAGATCTATGAATATCACATCGACAGACAGACCGTTATCTAGGACTGCTGTTCAATCCTCCCTCGCATTAAGCAAGTTAGTCAAGCATGAACGCTTGTTACGAAATCCGTGTTGCTCAGGAGCTAACAGATTGTGTGAATCTATGTGGCTTAGCAACCTAACCCGAATTATCTTTTCAAGCAACTTAACGACAATGCTAGTTAGACTGACAGGCCGGTAGTCAGATGCGATCTGTCTCTGACCGTCCTTAAATGTAGGACTGACTATAGCGTCCTTCCAATCTGTAGGGAGTTGAGCGCGTGAAAGGGACATGTTGAAGAGTGTCGCGAGCGGTTTTGAAATAATGTCCGCAATAGATGACAGCAACCGTGGATGTAACCCGTCAGGGCCCGGTATCTTACCAGGTTTGAGGTTAGTTATCAACGGAAGGACAGTTTCCTCAGTCACCTGTACAGATTCAATGGTTGGTATCTCGGTGTGAGTGGGACAAGTATTTGTTACGATAAACGTAGAGTAGACTTCGCTAAAATATTTTGAAAAAGTCTCAGCTTTTGCTCGATCTGATTCAGCTAGTAAATCTGAATGTCGTACAACAGTAACGGGGGAATACAATCACCACGTTTCATTCGCCGTTTAACATACGAAAACAATCGTTTCGGACAAGTACGGCCATTATATACCAACTGTCGTTCGTAAGTGGTACGGGATTTGGCTATGGTTTTCTTACAGATATTACGGAATTTTTGGTACTCACGCTTAAATGACGCATGACCTGTCAACAAGAATAAGTCCCAGAAATGTTTTCTACACTTTAACAGCTTCCGGGTTTCCTTATTAATCCATGGAGGGCAATGTGATAGCTTATGTGCTAACCATGTGGTAAACGGCGACGTTACGGACTCGAACGTAGCCTTAAACTTATTCCATTCATCTTCGATCAATCCATCCGCGTCGACCGACCAATCAGTCGAGATAGCACAGTTTCTGATTGCCGGAATATCTGCTCGTCAGATATTGGGACGGGGTGGAGCAGATACGAATTGTATACCATGTGTCCTAAAGTTAAAGTGAATTACGACGTGATCACTGTCCACTAGTAGGGGAAAATGCTGAATATCAAAGACATCCTCACGGTGGTGGGTGATGGCGAGGTCCCGCAGCGATGGATCATGTTGCAAATCAATATGTGTGGGTTTTGTGATACATTGTACAAGTGCAAACGGTAGAAAAAAGTTCGCCATCAAAACCTCAAGCAGGAGCTGTAAGCTCTAACCAGTTGTTGTACGGTGCGTTGAAATCCCCAATGATGAGATGGCATTCTGGCATACTCCAGGAATAGATGTGTCTTAGGATAAAGTCGTCAGCAAGACAAAACGGACTACGGTACATTTCCCCTATAGTCACTAACCCATTTCTAGACTTAATCTTACAACATGCAACCTCATATTTGCCACTGATATGAGCCCCCGATATGGTTGATTGTATACAAAAGTGATCCCTAATGTGTAAAGTTATGCCTCCCCACTTGCGACTTGAAACTCTATCACTTCTAATACAGATATAGCCTGTAATGGACGGAGAACATTCTATATCTACGGTGAACCAAGTTTCTGTAACAACAATTACATTGAGGCGTAATTCGTTCACCATCAGACTTAGCTCGTACGCTTTATTTCTCAGACTACGGCTGTTCGTGTAGCACACACTTAAGGTGTTTTGGTAAGCACTCGTTCTACCCACACAGGCCTCGGAAGCATTGGCTTCCAAGACTGGACTGCCCGAAAATCCTCAATGGTAAGGTTGGTTTCGTCAATCACTTGCGAGTTCTCAACTCAGTAAGCGCATTCTTTCACTTGATTCGATCCCCAAGCGGCCAATTTGGTCGGATAGGAATATTTCAATCACGGGTTTTTGTGCGTTTTTCAATACTATATATATCTCTCTCTTTGACGAGGCTATAAGTTGGGACTTTGTCGGAGTGGTCTGAGAGTCCACCAATGACTTATCAAGTAAACGGTCACTAGTTTTAGCTGTCTTTCCTACTCTTATGCGTTTCCGTGTCATCCATATTCCATCAGTCGTAGCATCCACATTAGAACCACTCAGGACAGTAATTGTTTTATCTGGGTCACCGGTTGCTGCTGTAGCAGCATGGCTATCGATATCTAATGAGGTGTCACCCATTGACTGTTTCGGGGTCGAGGGTTTAATAGCGGGTTGCACAGTTAGATGTCTGGCTTGTGCCGTGACAGCACTTACGACACCAACGCAATCTTCGCCATCAGTACCAATATTACCAGTACAGCCCTCATCAACCTTCTTATTAGCCAACATCAGGAGACTAATTGCTTCCTGGATGAGTAATGTTTTGCTCGAGCAACAAGAACTACAAAGCCAATGAGGGTTGGGCTTTGAGCACCTTTCATATGCAGTGGGGCTTAATCGGGTGCACATCTTATGGAACCACTTATTACACTCATTACACTGCATCTCTTCCTCCACGGGGAATAAGCAATACGGTTGTCCACACTTATGAGCAGAGCTGGCCAGCTTGAAAATCAACTAAAATGGTGACACAAATACGATATGTAAAAGAATTTGCAAACCTTAACTAAATAAATCAAGTAAAAGTCGACCAAGTATGCTTCGATGCAATAAATACACAAAAGCGAAATCGAAACACTCAGTAGAATATCACTTTAACTGGAGTAGATGTAGTTAAAGTGTAAACAGTAGTCTTGATGCGTAATTTACGATCAAAACAGTTAATTAACTCAACGAGAAACAATACCACTGTCCTTTTAAGTAGAGCTTCAAGTTGCCTTTTAAAGGACTCCTGGGAAGTCTCTTGAACTAGTTCAGCCGGCAGCGAATATCAGTATTTTACAACTCACAAGGAGTAGAAGTTGTGTCTATAACCTCTTCTACAATGTTGTGTCTCCAGTTTCTGGGTGTTAATCCTCAGGTTCGTGTTGGAGCTAAACTTAAGTAGGTGTTTAAAGCGATGTCCAGAAGTGTTAAGGATACTGTAATCCATCAGAAGGTCACCTCTAAGACGCCTATACTCTAATGGGTAAAGTTTGCAGCGGTAAATATATCCCCAAAATAAATAGCTCTGTAAGTTTTCGACATTGGATGCTGAACACATTAGTTTTAATGGACTCACCTAGCTTAAGACGCCCGGTCATGCAACCGCACCGGATCACGAGTGGGAACGTCGTGCTTAACATCCCCTGTAATCGCTAGGCAGATTAGATCAGTCGATCCTCGATATATTGATAGCTTATCAAATATATCTTCGAACTTGTTGTAACGGGTGTGTGTGACTGCAGGTTTTAGATACGCAGCGTATTTATCGATCGCGATCTGTGACAGTGACACGGAAAACACGTACGGACGACCTAGTGCCCTGATTGGCCCTGCTTCGCTGTCCGTCCTAGCCCAGTTGAGTGAAGAACACAAGTCACAGCCTTGGAGTTATGAATCATTGTATTTCAAACATACTCTATTTATATACCAAGCAAACAACCCACATCGTACCATAAAATAGGAAACAACATTTGTACAATATTTAACAAGTGAAATAAACATCGACCAATAAGAATGTACATTTAAGGTTCAAGGACACCATTGGACTTAACATGATAATTATTGGTCTCTTTTTCCGACTATCCCAACAGAACTTCTCCGCTTCTCTCTTTTGATTTCACTTGGTGGGTAAGCTTCATATAAAAGGTGTTACTGGTTAAAGCGTTGCCAAACTCTGAATACCTGTGGCATCTTCAAGATTAATTGATTGGAGGCCCTCTTCATAAGGTTGAAATTTGAGTCCTCGAACTCATTTCGTGGCTCGCCGTTGGATACGCTCTAGTGTGTCCTTATTCCTTATGACAATTTGTATCTCTTCATTTCCGTAGTTATTTGGCTGATCCTTCCGGTATTCCGCATTATCCGGATATTCCACGTACTTATATTATTTAAGGCTTTTTGTCGTTAGAAGGGGCATCAGCCTCGTGATTTCTGAAGAATCTCGGCTTTCATCACGAGGCGTAATAATTCTCCTAAATACAGATCCTTCAGCTCTCAGGGCAGAGTATAAATGGTTTGAATTTTTTAATGATAAGTGTATATTCAGCAAAGTCGTTTTCAGCGGGATGCAGTTGCTGATTCCATGTTAAACCCTCCTCACTTATCCCGTCTTTGGATTGGCAGTACCTCAAGTATAGCTTTGACTGGAGTTACTCACTAGAAATACTACACCGTTTACCGTCATTGATTACATATCCCATGAGTGGGGCAAGTGAATTTGTTGGTTGTTGCCTGAAACGCAAAGAGCAAGAGCTGGTGATTGTTTTGGTCTACCTCACTTCAAGCTGTGAGGTGAGTGAAGTCTTGCTAGATGGTCACAACACTTGGTCATAAAGTGGTGGATGTTTAATCCTAGGAGACTTTAACGCACTCACGATAGACTGAAAAAATCTGAGGATTGAATCATCAAAAAAGTCTTTGGAGCAGGAACTAGTTGACGTGGTTATCACATGTGCCCTAGTGCAACATGGGAAAGAAGCAACTAGGTACGACCCACACTCCGAATCTTCCTTAATATATCTTATTTTGATCCATTATGAGGATGACGTCATAAACCTTGATTTTATGCCATACTCAGGTAAAATTGATCATGCAGTTCTAATCTTTTATTTCCATATAGTCGTCAATAACGAGCATGTGTCAGCCCAACCTAGACCTAACATCTGGAAAGCAAATATAGATATTAAACAATCAGCATCCGCAATAAATTGGATAATACAGCCAGAACCCCCGATTGAAACTGTTTTCTATGTACATGAGAATTTGTACTGCATCACACATTCCTTTTACTACATCAAGGGTTCCGAGAAAATTCTTATCATCGTTCAATAATGAGACTTGAACTTTACTCCTTTGAAGAAGAAGAATATGTGCGAGGTTTAAGTTAATGATACTGACGAGTCAACGTGTAATATCGCGAAATCGAAATATTTATGTCTTGACCCTCAGCAAGTCCAGAAGTTTGTACGAATGAAAGCTTATTAAAGAATCTATGGCATACCCTAAACGTTTAAACTCGCGCGTAAACCAAAGGGTTATGAGAAGAGGAATTATTTCAGCATTATGCGTAGACAGTAGCACTTCATAATAAGTGAAGAACGGCTGTGGTAAGGTCAAGATATTCTCAAACTAATTTAGCAGTTTATAAGCCGTAGAGACATCCTTATCTTCAGTTTGTAGCGGTAAATAAATCCCCAAAATAAATAGCTCCCTCATACACACACACTGAAAAATGTGACCATCAAAGTACTCAATGTCTCTGATCTGTTAAACAAGCTTGATATAGAAAAGTCCACGGGACCCGATGGGATGCATCATAGACAACTAAAGGAACTAGATAATTTCGCCTCAAACCCCTTGAGCATATGTATCAATCTATCCGTAACCCGGGGTCGATTACTAAAAAACACTGGAAGAACAATGTACTAGGTCCTGTTCCGCTTCTCGGCACTCCGAGCTAAGATCATGTGTTAAAAACAGGAACGAAACATAAATATGAGAGCTATAGACCTGATAGTCTAAACAACGTGGTTGTTAAACTTCGGAAAAGACTATTCGGGGGGGCTGTTTATGTATCTTGATGAAAACCGAATTTTTCGGAAAAGCAGAATGGTTATAGAACAAGTTATTTCTGTCTCACTAACTTATTAGCGGCTCATGAAAGTTGGTGCCGTCTTAAAGATCTAAAGTTACCTATAGACATAGCATACATTAACTTCAGCAAAGCTTTTGACAAAGTTCCTCACAACCTGCTGTTATATAAGTTAAGAAATGTTGGGGTTGGAGGCAACCTATTAATGTGGATAAAATACTTCCTAGTTAGCCATCAAAAAAGAGTACGGTTGAAATTGGAGTTGTCTTGCTGAGAAATGTGCTTAACGGAGTGCCTCAGGGTACAGTTTTGGGACGAATATCATTCCTCTCGTATGTAAATGACCTTCCCAGTATCCTATCATCACCGGTTTTGCTATATGCTGACGATGTCAAGATGTGAAGAGCAATAAAAAGTAAAGGTGAAAGCTTATGCTCCACGTTGCAACCGGATTTTTAGATCAAATTACCCAGAAGCGAGATGTTGATCGGTCACTGATAACTCCGTACATCCATTTTAGTAGGGCTTTCGATAGTGTCTCATGCAAGCGTCCTTTCCTAAACTGTCTTCATTTGATATATAGAATCCCCTTTGATCTTGACCGAAATGTTTTTTGGAAGAACGTAGACAAATCGTCCGCTTGTGAATGTAACCAGTGGGGTTATTCAAGGAAGTGTGGTTGGTCCATTAGTCTTTCTCCATTTTATCAGTGAGGTGTGTTTCCTCTTTCAATTTGGCGAACCCTTCCATTCTACCGATGACCAAAAGGTGGTTTTTTCATTTTTTTCCTACCGAAAAAGCTATATTTCAGCGGTAATCCAAGAAGAAATAAACAAGTTGCACGAATGGACCGTTTCCTGGAATTCGCCACTTAATGTTGATAAAATTGGATTTATTCGCATTAGCCGATGCAATAACCTAAATCCAGCTATACACACACATACACTAAAACCTCTCAACACTGTTTGTGACTTGGGTTTAAGATAGAACGACGTTCTGAACTTTTCTGAGCATCTCAAGTATCCAAAGCTAGAAAGCTCATCGGATTCATAATGATAAACTTCAATAATATCGAATCAAGATTATTATTATGCAGAAAATGTGTCTTACCGATTCTTGAATATTGTATTTTAGTTTACAGTAATTGAAGGCATAATGACCTGAAGGTTCACCAATGCTGTCACGGGTTATTCCGACAACAAAAACTATCACCAAAGGTGTCAACAACTCAAATTAGAATTTCTCTAGACCAGATGTATCAAATTGAACCTTGTCTTTATCTACCAGCTTATTAACTGTATATTCTACTCTTCGGTAACCACCCTTCCATACTCTACGATATCATCCCACAATCCATGCAATAAGAAAAATATTCTAGCTATTCCAAGAACCTACACAAACGTACCCCAGACATTTTTTCGTTATTCGCTACTCAACCATGTGGAACGGACTGCTAGTGAACCTCCGTTGTAGTGAAACAAAAACCCCGTTCAGAAGTCCCCTCGATGATTTTCTTTCTGAAAGTGGATTGTGTCACCTATTGAATATCAGCGTGTTTAATAATAATTTACACAAAAGCGTCATACATTTTGATATTTGGTGTTTTGCACATAGTTGAGACTTTCATGGCATCACTCCAAACTATGGCTGCACAAACACTTATTCTAACGTCATATCTTACTGCAATAACAAGTCATTTTTCTTAATTATTTTTTTAAATTTTATTTTTGTTACTAATTCGGCGATACATGCATAGTCGTTAGTTCTAGTTCTGTGATCATAAACACGCATATTAAACAATCTACGGATTTCATGTTTCCCTTATTTCTTTTCCTTTTTATTCTCCCTTTCCTTCTTAAAAGTCAATTCAAAATTCTCCTCAGTTACACATAACTTGATATATTATTACTATTCTGTTGTCATTATTTTCTTTTTTATCATTTTTTCATATATGTCAAACGGTGGATGCCTTGGGCATAAATGGTATGTCGGAGAAAATGTAGGTAGTTAGCTCTGATCTGACATTTCTGAATGTTTACAGTAATTTTGTGCTTTTAGAGTCGTTTAAATGCAAGGCTCAGATTCTGGAGATGAGACATAATCGATAAATTTGTGAAATTATGAAACATTTCTCAACTCGAAAGGCATGAAAAAGATTCATTGGATCCGTAGGGGGTGCCGATAGGCGTCTGAGGAGTGTCGTCAGCAGAGATGGGAATTCGGTCATATGCTTTAACCAAGTCGATTTTCTCAAAAACAGTCGTGCCTTTTAAGGTGGCTGTCAAATCATGAATGTAAGGTGACGGTCAACGATTAGGGGTGGTTTACGTATCCAGTCATCGATAATCACCAGTTTGACACCAACCGTTGCTGATAGACGCTCATGAGCTGTTTGGCGGCGGAATATTTACCAAGTTCATCACGTTCTGGAATTCGATGCTGATCAACCTTAGGTTTACAGGAGCTAGTGGGCGAGCTCTCGAAAATTCAGGTGATCATGTAGTCGCGGTGTGATGTGTGACATTACTGCGTATACACGGTAATTTTGTTCGCGTTTCGCACAGTTCGATAATTTGCCGAGTATCCGTTGATAGTACAAATCAATCGTGTGCCTTAATGTGACTAGAGATAATCTACAACCGAATAAACAAGTTACATAAACAAATAGTTTAGTATTTCCGTCTACTAACCTCCGCTTGTACATGTTGACTAGATTATGATGTTTTGGTGTGTCTGTAGTGGCATTGGACAATAGCCACACAATCCACAAAGCTGTGAACATGAGACTACTCAGAAAATAGATATTCAATATTTAACGCGGAGAAATACCCAACGATGGGGAAGGCGCGAATAATGAATTGAATGGACTGGAGTTGATCGAGTGGCATGGCTCGGCCATGCAGGCGTGGTCTCTGCGGAATGTTACCTTATATCTTCTATTCATATTAAATATATTGTTCTTTCTCTAGCCTAACCTTGTTCTACATTATGTATTGGTAATTGATACGATACAGTGGGTTGATGTAGTCGATGGTGTGACTTCCACGTAAGATCTTATAGATTAGGCAGTTATATCATGACAAATCTACAAATTTAGGATTAGGTCTATTATTAGAGCAATACTAATATCATAGTAGACCACAATGGTCAGAATGTTATATATTGTTACTAGAAATTATAAGTGGATTGACTAACATCTCTGATGCTAATGATAAGCACGCTTATGATATCCACTTGTTTAATTCAATGATAATGAACAGTAATGTTATTAAACGTGCAAAATCTAATGAAATCTGGTCTATTCTTGCATTTCGGTTAATGTTATTCTTATATTTTCGACGACCCGGTATATCATACTTATTCCATTCAGATGTGATCCGACAACTAGTTTGTTATCCATGTCCTCTGTTAAATAAATCTTCAAATGTATATTCGTTGACTGAAAAATTTGGACTCGGAAATTTGAAAAACTGTAATTTCGCTCAACCAGAAGTTGATCGCATTGGTCCAATTATCCTGGTCAGTTTAACGTCATCGAATATGTCGATTATGAACACTGCACAATTAGCTTGTAAAGCTTTAATTACTCAGCATGCAAGAACTTGTTTACGTTTATTACCGATTATATGTAGTTTAAGTGAAGGACGACTTAATATGACATGGAGACAGTTTATGAATAAACGTTATCAATTATTATTTTCCAATTTACTTCACATCTTAGAAATATTATCGACTACATCAGTTGACTGTTCAGCAGAAACTCTACTTGGTGTTTACGCAAGTAATGGTTGTTTATCATCTGTAGAAAATAGTGCTTTATTCAGTAGAGAAGTGTTGCCATACAGTAAATATATGGAACGCATTTTATCGAATTTGGTTGGAGTTCTAGCCTGCTTTCGTGGACATACTCGTCATCTTAGCGGGTTTCCAAAACGTCTGGCTAGAATTCTTCAGTTTCATTTACGATTCACCCCATGGAGTGTGAATGTTAACGAAACTTTTAATTTGTTTAAAGAAGATGAAAGTATTAATGACAATCTTGATGTACTTGCTGAACAATTTGAAGAATTTGTCCCTATTTCTACGATGTTAACTCAAATTAATGAATCATATGGTGAAAAGTATCGTTATTCCTCTTCCATTCTTTCAGTTATCTCAAAATGTCGTGGACAGATAAGTAAACAATGGAATTTAGCTGTAATGCAACCATTCATTTATCATCTCAGAAATAGTGTTCATCCTCAGATGCTTAACAACTTGTTAAATGAATTAGAAATCGCTTCAAAACGGAAAGTTGTTCTTTTGTTATATTTCAAACATGAATTAGAATCACTTATTGGTCATTCTTGTGAAACTGTGGCTAGTCTTGCTGTAACTCTTCTATTACGGTTATTACACCACTTTCCTCATTTGGCTCATGAAACTGTTGCCAAAACAATCATACCTTATCTTTGTACGCGATCGAATAAACCTGATCATTTTACCCTGCCTTTATTATCGATGTTGCCGGATGCTATAATGCTTGCTCCATGTTCAGCGTCTACTCTTATGCAGTTATGTGCAGAACATATTTTGTTGGGTGTACCAAATGAGTTCACTTATTCGGCTGTTGATTATTATGAAGTTAGTATGCGTCGTTTAACACTAGATGGATTTGATGGTGCATGTATAGAACACGCAAGCTCAGCATTGACAGCCAGTTCTGGTTTTATTAGGGCATCATTATAATAATTAAAAAAATTGTAAATATTTTCTCGTTGTAATATGTGTATAATATTTTTTCAAATCAATTTTTATTCTTTGACTGTAGAATGATTGTATATGATTAATTGCGATACAAATTCATAATTATATATATAAAAAAACAAAGGCATGGCTCGGCCATGCAGGAGTGGTCTCTGCGGAATGTACTGATTAAAACAATCTACATTCATGTCTTATAAATTTTCAACCCAGCTATGTAATTTAATACAGTGTATATTGTATCATTTGTATCAATTTGATCTTGCCTGTAAACTGGCATGCCTCATGTAACAAACTGTTATTTGAGAATAAATTATTATTATTATCTTCTATTCATATTAAATATATTGTTCTTTCTCTAGCCTAACCTTGTTCTACATTATGTATTGGTAATTGATACGATACAGTGGGTTGGTGTAGTCGATGGTGTGACTTCCACGTAAGATCTTATAGATTAGGCAGTTATATCATGACAAATCTACAAATTTAGGATTAGGTCTATTATTAGAGCAATACTAATATCATAGTAGACCATAATTCTACATTGGTGAGCCCAACTAAAGAAACGCAACCTATTATTATTAATTCTTATTTCCACCTTAACCTTCTCAATCGGTTTTTATTTTTGTAAACCCAGTATTCTAATAGTCCTTTGATTAATGGTCACATATATTATCGTAATGTTATATCTATTAGTTCACATAACTTACTGGCTCAATCGATAATAAAAGTTGATCATCTATATCAACTAATTAGCTTTGATGGTTCGTTAACAAGCTTTAATAGCATTTACCTGCTTCAGCGACATAGACTTGTTTAAACATCAAGCTCTAGCAAATATGACCTGTAAATAGCGTAAATATACATTGACTAACAATGCAACCAAGGATTGAATAGCTATCTGGATCTAATTCTGTGTTCCTTCACTTAATACCTCAACCTGTTTCAAACTAAGCACTGTCCTGTAATATCTTTTCTTCCGACCACTGCCTGCCTAATTTCATATTTTCGAGTTCCATAGCCAAACAACAAGGATGACACTTCTCCAAAATAAAAAATACGGTGAGTTCCAGCTATAAGTTTTCTGCAATCATAAGTTCATTTTAGATAGCACACACAATTACCTGGATTCATTCAGTTCTGATCAGAGCGAGTCCCAAAGACCTCAACAGCATCAAGCACCCTGGAAGTGATTGCCATACTGTATGTTTTATTCTGGATGCTTTTGGATCATTACTACTCCTCACGAATGGCGTTATATATGTCGTCCACTGAATAATCTAATTTTCAAAAATAATCCAGGCGAGTTCAACTATTTTACTGGGTGATTTTTTTGTACTTAACATGCATATATTTTCCAGTTGCTTTTGACACATATTTGTAAGTGTCCCTAGGCTAAATGCAGTAACTTTTTATGTAATGTTTATAACGCGCCATATTCCTGCCTGAAGTTTCATAAGCAGTCTTAACTTTAAAATTATTTTTCTGGTCATGTTCATTACTTTTTAATTTTTAAATACGTCAACAACCTGCATGTTAACCTGGCCCGTACATACGTTTTACTATATCTTCATATCTTTTGAATTTAGAAATCATCTGAATCGCCTTTAACATTTATCAATAAACCCATCATAGTCGTTGTTGCTAATCGTATTTGGGTTTATGGATTGGTGTATCATATTAGCAGCCTAAAATGCGAACATAGTTTAGATAATAAGATTAAAAATTTAGGTACTATTAACTGCACTAGTAAAATAACTAAATCCCTAGGTGGCTGTTGGCTAAACAAACGTTTAAAATAAAAACTCTGTAGCTTACTAGAATTAACACTAAACGAATCTTTCTGAATTAAAATTTATAATTAAATTAGGCGTCTTGGATTCTTTTACGTTACAAATTTCTGATAATTTCGAATCACCTAAAGCAACAATACCTATTTTTCCACTGACTAATCCTCATTCAACACTATAACTAGTTAAACATAATAGTTTCAGGATATCGTCATAAAGCATTGCCATGACTTGACAATCACGTTATATGATTGATAAAATTAATGAAACTATTAACAAAATCGGTCAGCAAATTGACTTACAATTATCACAAGTGTTGTTTTTCTTTTATCTTCATTCACTACAGATGATTACAGTATGTTTCTCTATCAGTTGCTCATTAAGTAAATATCTCAAAACCTTGTCAGTCTAATTGGAGGTTTAGCGACACAATCATGCATGCAAATAATCAGTATAAGCAGTCGAGCAAATCTCCTGCAAACTGAAAACATCAATGTCGAATTTACCCCAACACTGACTAAGGTTCAAGCCATTATCATAGACATGAGTTGGGAGTGTACTCCCCTTGGTTACAACTTATGTTCTCCCTGATAATCACATGAGCATCAATCACTATTAATCATCTTGTAAAAACTTATTTAGCTAAATACATCTTGCAGCACCACATCACTTCGTAATATGATCCATAGGCTTAACTGATTTTAATAACTTATAACCACTATATCTCAATTAAATCGTATTCCGCCTTATGATAAACTGCATACTTGCAACTAACTTGTATGCCCAATCAGCCAGCAAGTATAAATATAAATAAATAGTCTATTGCAGATCAGAACATTGAGTCCAGAGCATGTCTCTTACGAATACACTCATGTTTAACGATTTGTTCCTAGCTATCTGTCCAAAATTCATATAATTATCACTAACGTATTTGAATTTTGTTTTGATCACCATTCATGTGTATTAGTAGTATTACTAAATTCTATCACGGTCAAGTAAAAATGAGGTTGAGAAAATCTCCCCGTAACTAAATAAACCGTATCAAACTAACTGGAACACTAGTTGGAATTCTTTTCCATGGTAATACTTTTGTTCCTTCAGTTAGCCTACTGATACAGATGCAATTGGAAATCAACTCATATGGACAACATACCGGCATAATTGTAAATTGATTTCATAATTTAAATCAAAACCAATACCAATATTAATAATTCTACAACATTTATTACTTTAATATTTCTAAACACAAAATACTTACTACCTATACGTTAAGTTATTAACCAACAGCTATTAACACGCATCGTTTTATTATTATTATTATTATTATCATTATTATTATTATTGTGATCCCATTTTTCATAGCTCAAATAATCTTCACCCAAATTTTCATTTCAAGCATGTTAAGCATGAAGGCAGATTTTTTTTTAAAAATTATTACATGTATTTCCCGACCAGATGCTGCCGCCTTCTTTTTGATTTATCTTTCAGCTTATCATTACCCGGGGGATTCTTCCTAGTCTTGGTAACCTTCGGCGCACGACGATCCCATCCAATTTGGTATCGAACCAACATCACGTTGATTCTGGTGGGAGAGTAGTGTAGTGGCATTGGACAATAGCCACACAATCCACAAAGCTGTGAACACGAGACTACTCAGAAAATAGATATTCAATATTTAACGCGGAGAAATACTTAACAATGGAGAAGGCGCGAACAAGGAATTGAATGGACTGGAGTTGACCGAGTGGCATGGCTCGTCCATGCAGACGTGGTCCATCTCAGTGTTACTTTATATCTTCTATTCATATTCAATATATTGTTCTTTCTCTAGCCTAACCTTGTTCCTCATCATGTATTGGTAATTGATACGATACAGTGAGTTGGTGTAGTCGATGGTGTGACTTCCACGTAAGATCTTATAGATTAGGCAGTTATATCATGACAAATCGACAAGTTTAGGATTAGGTTTATTATTAGAGCAGTACTAATATCATAGTAGACCATAATTCTACAAGGGAAAGTGATCTGTATCCGCACAAGGTCACTAGTCGGAGCGCAATGTTCAACATACCCTAGCAAGCCAGTCTAGACCAGTCGGTCCTCGATATATTGATAACCTGTCAAATATGTCCTCGAACCTTCTCGCTTCTGTCTTCCGGTTTCACTTATACTAGAAGATGTTACTGGTTAAAGCGTTGTCAAATTAAAAATACCTGTGGCATCTTCAAGGTCAGCACTAGTGCAGAAAACTTATGGAGCTTTATTTTGGAGGACTTATTTACCTCTACTGGGATTTGTATACCGCAACATATTTGTTAATTGTTCACTGATAGTTTTCAATATTTTTTAGCCGTTCTCACCTCAAGTATCTCTGTCATCCAAACTATAGTCGTCATGGAGGAAGAATGTATTTTTAAAATCTCAGCGAAATAATTATTGATCATATTGATTAAATTTTCCTTGAAAACGCTTGGACCAGATTGCCAGGCGAAACGTTGGATTTACTTCAAATTCTTTCGCTGAGATTTTGCAGCTACATTATAAGTTATTTTTTCTTAATTATTTTTTGTTACTAATTTAACGATACACACATAGTCGTTTATTCTTGTTCTGTGTTCATAAACACGCTTATTAGACTGTTTGCGTATTTCATGTGTCCTTTATTTCTATTCCCTTATTTTCTCCATTTCCTTCTTTAAACTCAATTCAATATTCTTCTCAATTACAAAGACCCCATTTATTATTATTAATACTCTACTATTATTATTCTCAATTATCTATTTTATTTTCATTATTATTATTTTTTTTAAATATGGCAAGTATAATGCTAACATTATTGAGAATTGTGTATAATTGCATTTTCTGAAGAAACCCGAAATGGTTTCTTCACAACACTTATGTACCCATAAGATGTTTGTGAATAATAATAATAATAATAATAAATCTACAAATTTAGGATTAGGTCTATTATTAGAGCAATACTAATATCATAGTAGACCATAATTCTACATTGGTGAGCCCAACTAAAGAAACGCAACCTATTATTATTAATTCTTATTTCCACCTTAACCTTCTCAATCGGTTTTTATTTTTGTAAACCCAGTATTCTAATAGTCCTTTGATTAATGGTCACATATATTATCGTAATGTTATATCTATTAGTTCACATAACTTACTGGCTCAATCGATAATAAA